CCCGGAACAGTCCGACAGGTCGATGGCTGTTCATGTTGGATTTTGCTGGAGGATGGGAGGACCTTCCGCAGACATTTTGATCATGTGAGACTCAGACCCGTTCCCCTTCCAGACGTGTCGGTGCCGAACCACGAGTACCGGCGGACGATGGTGTCAGATGAGCCTCCGGACTCCTCTGCTCTGGACAGCGCCGCTCACGCCGTCGCCGGAGAATCCAGAGACGCGACTGTGGGCGGTGCGGAGGCGTCAGAGACCGGCGCCCTCCCCTCTGAGAAGTGCGCGGACGTCGGACGACATCCCTCGACGTCGTCGCCGTCTCCGCCGTCGCGGTTGGAGGCTGCGACCGCTTCTGCGCCGGTGCCGCGTCGTTCAGCGCGGGAGAGGCGTTGCCCAGTGCGATTCCGGGCGGGGCAGTCTAATCCTGTGGGGGAGGAGTGTGGTGACTTGATGTAAATCAAATGCGTGTGACATGGATCCGGCGGTATCCGGCTACCCGCCGCCCTCCGCTAGCGCCACGCCTGCCGGGTAGGCTGACCCGGGCGGGGCGGCCGACCGCCGGGTCGCGGCGGCGGCCTGACCTTGGGGTCGTCAGTCGGGTCGGGAGCGCAGCGGCCGCCGGGCTGTGGTGTATTGGTATGGTGTCAGTGGTCGCCGAATACAGATACACTTCAGCGCCCGCACATGGGGGGGGGGGGGTTGCCACCCCCAGATAGTCTTTCTGCTCTGCACTCAACATTTTTAGAGCTAGAAGGCTGATGTTTCGTATAGCTGCTCCTCTATCCTTTCTTGATGTTCACTGAAAATTTCAAGTTTCTGTGGTTTTTGGTTTCGGAGATATGACCTTGTTTTTCAGGTCATGTCATGACCCAAATGGCAATTCTCAACATCTTGCGTTGGCTATGGGCCTTGTGAGCTTTTGACACCTTGATTTCGGCCTTTTTTGCCAGTCTTGCCTCCAACCTATCATGGAACATGTTGTTCGACGATGTACAGATGTCAAGGTCAAGGTCAAGGTCAACCTAGGTCATCTAAGATAATTGCGTTTTAGGCAAGCGGAAATTACTTTTGTGAAGTTTTTTGACTGCATTTTGGTAAAAGCTTCTCAGATCATGATTTCATGTAATATGGACACATAAACAATCGGTGCACACATCAGCATACACACAGACACACACAGACATACAAACACATATAATTGACCTTGACCTAACTTGACCTGAAATGACCTCAGCAGCAAAAACCTGGTCGGGTAGAGTAACAAAGAGGTTCTAGCTGGCTTGGCACCAGAAAACGGCATCGTCATCGGTATATGATAAGCAGCGCACTTGATATCCAACGGTGACCCAGCCAGCAATTTTGCTCCGGGCCCAAGCAGGCTTAAGTGCGGATTGCCCGAGATTTTAAGTCGGGCTTAAGTCGGCTAGGGCTTGGGCTAAAGTCGGCGTATGACACAAAAACGCCGACTAAAGCCCATGCTCTGCCGGAGGTATGCCCGCTCTGCGAGCTCCGGACAGCCGTAGTTTAGCCCTAGTTGAGCGACGATTGGCGTTAGCCCGATTTAAGCCCGAGCAGTGAATCCATTTATATAATGGAGATTATTCTGGGCCCGAGCGGGCTGAACTCCGGCAAGCCCACTCTGTGTGCCCTGTCTATCCCGACTTAACCCTCGCCCTGGCAGGGCATTTTTCATTACACGGCCTGGCAGGGGGGGGGGGTCGATGCGACCCCCCTCGCGATTGGCTCCTATGGCACCTAGAAACACCAAATTTGGTAGGTAGGTGGGGCCCCTGGAGTTCTCGCCCCTGTGCAAATTTGGTTGCTCTAGGTCAATATTTAGGGGGTTTTTGGGGGGTATAAATGTAAAAATTTCGCTAAAAACAGGTCAAAAGTTTTTCGCTTATAACTTTTGATCTAAATAAGATAGAGAAAAAAGAAAAGCACCAGTGAACTCAGCACGTCAGGGCGCGTCGAATGATATACTTTTTAGCTTGCTTAAGTGTACTTAAACTTTTTCTTAAATTTTAAGTAAACTTAAATTAATGAATTAAGCTCATGTCAACCAAATTGCATCATATCGCATATCATTCGATTCGGCAGATCACCAGGAACACAATGGTACCATTTTTTAAGCTCTAGCGTCATTATGTGCCAAGTTATTGGCAAAAACGTCATTTGACCTCAGTTGACCTCATTTGACCTGACCCATGGATAAGTACACCAAACAAATAAGCACCAAGTGACCCGCTGTTAAGTACCGTGGTTTCAAAGCACAAAAGTGATAGAACGAAGCGGATATCTCCAGTATTTTCCGAATTTAGTATTTTCCCATAAGCTTAACGTTACGACGTAATGACCTCTAACTGACCTCAGGTCAGTGACCTCAAAAACACCGGACTATATGTTATACAACTCGGTGAACTTAGCACATCCTGAAAGTTTGAAGGAAATCAGTCTAAAACTGTGAGTTTGACAGGTGCAAAAAGAAAATTGAAATTTGACCATGACCTTGTACCGGTTTTTCTGACCTGGTGACCTGACCCAAGGTCACCCGGACCTGAAATTTTGAGGTCATATGTAAAAAGGTTGCCCCATAGGCTGTGCCAAATTTGGCGGCGCTGCGCGCCGCTGTTTTTACGCTATCTTCGAAAAACCTTAGGGGGGGTTGCATCGACCCCCCCCCCTGCCAGGGCGAGGGTTAAGCCATAGATGTGAATGGGGTTTATACATTGCAAACTGCTGTGGCTTTGCTCGGGTTCGGCTCGGATGACGGCTCCTGTTTTCCCAAGTCTCGACTTGACTTCATCTTGCTTTTGCTTCACACTGGATCAAGTAGCAAGGAGCAGCCAATGCACTTTCCGCAGGTTGTGCGGTTACAATGCACATTCAAAATTGTTACGGTCACTCATATGCGCTGTTAGCCGGTCATCGAGCATTGCGAAAGGAAAGTAGTGGTTGACTTTGATTGAATGTATATTTCAAACGACTACAGACACGTCAAATGAAACAAAAATACATGAAACAGTGGACTGCAAACTGCAGCAATAATATGGCATGAGTCATGAAAAAGCGCCATCAAAACTATAAAACAATCACAAGACCCGCTAGCCTCCCTCCCCGTTCATAATACTTAGTTGAACACCCAACCGAAAGCATAAAGTAAGGACAGCATGTAATCGCTCATAAGTCATAAAGCAATTAGCAAACAATCGTTTATAAGGAACTTCACTCTGGTGAATGGGAGCTTTGGAGGCGTCTGGCTCCTCCACACACACACATCTGCAGTAGATGGTCGGCCACCTTTCGGCGCAGTTTCCGTATATGTAGGTATACCTACTTAATTATAAGCAGGCAGTTTCCGCTAAACCACTTGGCGAGGGCGACTGCGGCGTCCACCCGGTCCTGGTTTGTATAACTATTCAATTTTTCGGAACCATTTGCTCTAATGGTAGGTACCTACCTGAAAAAGAGATTAATTGGTGTAATTTACATAACATGTTTGCTTGAAAAATAACTTATTGTTGCATTAATACTGTAAAAGCACTTCTCATTGATCCGTATAAAATGTTCATTCGATTTTCAACGCGGACAGAGAATAAGCGTGCTCGGTGATAAGTAGATAAATATTTGTGTTTTGTATTTCATTTTCCTGGTTCAGAAGTGCTGGTATTTCACAAAGATATAACGGCACGGAATGCGGCTTTTCTGAGCGAGGGTATAAGTCGCCAGGCTGAACAGCTATTCAGCTTCATGTTGATGGCGTGAAACTCAGTCAAAATCATGACGTTTACATACGATCAAGCGCACCATTCAATACACTTACCTACCGTAAAACTCCATGCTAGTCCACTTGATAAGAGCAGTGAGCACTGGCCCTTCTTCGCGCCAGGGCATATTTTAAGGCACTTACTGCGTCCCATTCTGGGACGCAGCCCCCTCGCCTTGGGACGTAGCCCCTGCTGATTTGACCCACTGCGTCCCTGCCCTGTGCCCTGTCCGGTTCCCTGACCTGTGCCCTGCTGTGTGCCCTGACCTGTACCCTTCCCTCTGAAATGTCCTGCGCCATGCCCTGTAACCTGCCGTGCCCTACTTTCTGCCCTCCTAAGTGTCCTGCTCTGTTCCTTGCCCTGTGCCCTTAGTCGTAGCACGTGCCCTCTGCTCAACTTTGGGACGCAGTAAAAATTTGTTAAAATATGTCCTGCTTCGCGCTGTCACACGCGCCCAACCATCAACCACCAAATGCCCCAATACCGCTGTGTCGTTTCGTCGCACAGCGCGCAGACTGTCACAAACGCTGCACATGATTGGCGCAGAACTGCGCATGCGCGAACAGCTGAACAAGTATGGCTACGCTCCGGCTTTACTCCAGTTAGCCGAAGGACACAGCCAGCTTGATCAGCCCGCGCTCCGCCCAAGTTAAGCCTGTTTTGGATGCGCGGGCAGATGTCGGGCTGAGCTACTGCTATCCGCACGTGGGCATAGCTGCGGCATGCCCCAGCTCAGCCCTAGTAAAAAATACATTGGTTTTGATCAAAGTGGGCAAACCCAAGCTAAGCGCAAGCTGCCCGACGTTTGCCACAGTTCAGCCCAAGCGAATTGCTGTTTTGGGTCGACCCAAAACAGCAACATTTTTTAGTTTGATCTGACCTGGAAGGTCAATGACTGACCTGAGAGGGTGAAACTGGGTATCATTGGATTCATCTCTTCCCAAAGAATCTTTTTGGTCTTTACCGCTAAGCTCTATCTCCAACAGGAACGAAATGGCGCGGGGGGTGGCAACCCCCCCCCCATGTGCGTTCTAGGATGGAAAAATGGCATGTGCGGGCGAGGGTTAAACACCTACTTTTCATATTTTACCAAAGTCACTATTACCTTTTTTCATTTTCGTGCGTGCTTTGTTTCACCTTCTGAGTTCTGATACCGGTGCTGTTTCACCTTTTAGGTTGCGGTATTTGGACCGCAGCCACCGTGTCCTTATTTCTGTGTGTCTGTGTGTTCAACAGAGTCACCGTCCGTGACACCGGGAGCACTGGCACGTCTTCTGGCTTCCTTCACCAGCTTGGTGTACAGCCCTCAGCAGACTGCGTGGTAGGCATTCTTTTTCCGACAAAACTGATAATAATTCAAAAGTCATGTTATCAGTCGGTCGAAACTCACTGCAAATAGATGCGCCATGCTCCACTCCTTCGATAGGGCCTATCAATAAACAAAGCATACGCCTTGTGTGGCAACAAATTGTAAAAGTTCGTTTTGGGGGCAAATATAAACTTTTGGGTTTTGTTGCCAAACTGGATGGAAAATGCATACGGTGATAATGCCAATCTAAGCTGCGGAGTCTCGCGCATCTTGCTGTTACGATTTCCGGGTGACCGATAGCATAGTATTCGCGATATTCTCGGTTTTGTCGAAAAAAGAATACCTACCACGCAGTCTGCAGAGGGCTGTACATCAAACTCTGCGTGGTCGGTGCCACTTTGGAAACCACGCTGGCCGCCCTCCACGGCTGCTCTGAGTTGTTTAGCCTGGAGCTCACAGACCCGCGGCCCCTCACGGACATCCCTGCCTTGACCGAGTCAGAGGTGGCAGCGGTCAGCAGGTCAGTCGGACGGCCGCAGGGAGGCACCGGTTCTGACGACACACGGAAATATCAGTCGGCTGGTTGTGGCACTGCCCCCTGCCGGCGCGATTGTGCTGCCACCTAGCCAAGCCTAGTCATAGCCTAGGACGGGACACGGGACGGTTTATTTTTCTCGTCGAGTGGGGCAGCTTGCGACGACACCGGGCGACATGGCTGTGCTGCAACATACCCCAGGTTCGGAGTCTCTCGGACGGCCAATCCCGTTCCATACATAACCACAGCCAAGGCCCCGCTGACCTTAAACGGGATTGGCCGGACAACGTAGAATCTTCGTAGTCCGAGAGACACCGAACCCGGGGATAGTCTGTCGAAGCCTTGGCGGCTGAAGAAAGGCTAGACATATCTCACTTGATTATGGCGTAGCCCAGGGGCGTCGCCACGGATTTTTGAGTGGGGGGGGGTCGGGTTTCTAGTCTTCACCCGATGGGTAGGGGTGTTTTTTTTTTGCCACACTTCCCAGTTTTGTACGTGCGTATGTGTGTGTGTGCGTGTGTAACAAATCGGCGCGCAGCGCCGCCAAATTTGGTATAACCTATTAGGTAGGTACACCTACCTACATCACTTGCGTAAAAATTATCACTGGTCACTTAAGGTCAGGTCGCCATGTCAAGTTCAGTTATACGGTATACCTCTATAAAAACTTTCCCCTCTCGCCATTCTTGTAGCTTTTCTCCCATAACTTCGAAATTTGGTACACTGTATAGGTACCTAATGTATGGAGTTATACGTGTCAGCAATTCATGATTCTAACTGAGGATTTACATCTATGATCTGAAGGCATGGGTCAAATACGTGACCTCATCATTAGAAAATAATGAGAAATTAGAAAAAGCACGAATGCCTCCTGCTTTGAAAAAGTTCGTCAGAAACGCAAAATATCTTTGGAGCCATGACAAATCAGCTCATCATTGCCAGGGACAGGGTGCAACTTATGGCGAGTGATGACTCGAAAGGTCATTAGTGGAAATGTCCATCGATGGCCACCAGCATTTTTTTTTCTACAACTTTTGACGAAGACGCGGTAGAGCGATGACAGACAGCACCTGGAAGGTGTTCACTGTTCAGCTCAACAACACGGATCCATTTATATGCAGCAGGAGGTCCTTTTTCGATCAGGACATAACGTTGACCTGAGGTCGTTTTAACGCTAATTCTGAATGGTTAAATTTTAACTCATGTGACGCGTCTCAAAGAGATCAAGACGGTGATGACAAGACAACATATGTACAATGTACATACCATACAAATTCACGGAATCGAAAGTTATTGCAAAGCAGATGTTTCGGCAGAATCTGTCCAGTTAGCTGTTTGCATTCTTATGGGCCAAACATAGACCTGAGATGAAATCTAACGCGAAGCTAGCGAAAGAGCGTTAAAAGAGCTATCGAATAGTTTTCTGCTTCACTGTAGCCCTTCTATTGGTGGTTTCCCAGTCGCTAAGGTATAACGTATACTAAACTAACGCTGAGGCATGCTTTCGACCCCTGATCGATCTACAGGTTTGCGGAAAAAAGAGCATGCTGCCCGTGACGAGAGAAAGCCGATGATACCCATTTACAAGTTTTCGGGTCATCTCAGGACTCAGGTCATCGCCAATAAGTAGAGAAACTCGGGACCTGCTAGAACTTAACGAATGTAAGTTGTGATGGTTTTTCGAGGTTCTGATTACGAATGTTATCTTAGTTTTGAACGAAGATGATGACTCCATGCATTTGGGGTAGATCAGGTCAGGTCAGATCGACCAGTACCTAGTAGTGGATGACCACCACCGATTGCTTCCTAGCATGTTATATGAATAAGCAACACAACTACTTCTTAAATGTTCAGATGGGCGCTAAGTTCAAAATCAGCTCCAAAAACTACCCTATCGATTAAAAGCACGTTATGAAAAAGTGAACTATTTGTATATACGTATTTCGGACCGGTTTCAGTGCATTCCAGCATCATCATCAGCGATAAAATCACATAAAACAAACACTTATCGTTTCACTTACATCGTTAGCAATTCGAATTCACAATGGGTTTCCCGCCTACCTTGTCAACTTGTGCATCAAGAATTTCTTAAACCAGAAATACTCTAACACGCTACCCCTCTTCAACGTGCCAAAACTCAAAAGATATTTTGTACTTCCCTACTTTGGTGAACAGTCCCTGGGTATGCAAAAAGAAATGGTTGATCTACTGTCTAACTATTATCCGTATCTTGACCCCAGAATTGTTCTCCGTAACACATTAACTGTCGGCTCATTTTTCCATTTCAAGGATAGAGTCCCCAAGGCCTGCCGCTCTGGTGTTGTCTATAAATATTGTTGCTCCTCGTGTGGGGAGGCGTACATCGGTTCCACCCATGTCCGACTTAAAACCAGAGTAGCGCAACACCTTGGGGTTTCTGACCGAACTGGAGAAATGGCTTTAACTCCCAGACAGTCTTCTATACGCGATCACAAACAGACCTGTGATTCACCTGTAACCATCGCTGATTTTACTATCATTGCCAGAAGTAGTATAGATGTTGACCTACGGCTGCTGGAATCTTTGCACATTCATGAGAACAAACCTGCTCTGAATAATAAGTTCTCAGCAGTACCCCTCTATGTAGTTACTTAGTACAAACAGTGGGCGCTCATTCTTGTATGGAGTACACCAAAGTGTTATGCATGTGATGTACTTTTGTCGTGTATCGCTTTTCAAGGAAGATTTGAAAAATGTGTCACGAACTATGATGTTAATGCGAATTCGAATTGCTAACGATGTAAGTGAAACGATAAGTGTTTGTTTTATGTGATTTTATCGCTGATGATGATGCTGGAATGCACTGAAACCGGTCCGAAATACGTATATACAAATGATTACTGCTACAAGCATTCTATTACTACGATTTCTACTATCGCTTAAAAGTGAACTAAGGTCATCTTTATTTGAATCAGGGATATCGATTTATTTTAAGTAGGTGATTAACTCGAGCGCACCGGAAGTTTTGTTGCAATCGGCTCCTTTTTGCGCGACTTCTTTGCGAAAGCCCGAGACGGTTCCATCTGACTCCCTTTCCCCTACATGTGCACTGTACAGCTAGTTGTGACGGTAGCCATGGGGCTGAGGCTAGCTTGTAGTTTTGTAGTTAGGTACTGATCCGACGAATCGACTGCGACCATTTTTTAAAAACGATCAGACGAACGCTCGGGGCAGTTTTGGCGCGTCCAATCCTTTGAGGGGTAAAAAGGTACAAGGATGGGGGCTACTTACAAACATTGTTGTGCTGGTGTTCCCCGCCCACAGCTAATTGACCTTTAGGTAATTGGCTAATTGACTTTAGGGAACTCTTGAAGCGATTTTGAATCTGATGTATTTGTTGGTGTTGCTGACGCCTGCTTCACTGACATAAAAGCTAAAAAAGCATACTCAGCATCGCAAAAAGTGGGGGGGTCGACACCCCCAGTTTTCAAGAGTGGGGGGGTCACGACCCCCCCGACCCCCCCGTCGGCGACGCCCCTGGCGTAGCCAGCCTTACTTCTGTAGTTTTGCTTCACAAAATTCCATGTCCTATTGAGTTTCCGGTTACGTCGTTCAGGAGCTTGATTTTCTTTAGATATATCACGTAATGACAAAATTTTGGCAGCATTTAAATTGGTTACCTGCATATTCTGGTTAGGAAAGATCACTATCGTAGTCGTACAATCAAGACATACCAAAAAGGATCAGGGCTAAGGCAGCATTATTAACAAAAAGTGTATTGCATTGATCACCGGCATGTTCGTAATATAAAATACAATACGAATAAAGATGACCATCAAGCCGGACCAGGACACGGACCAGGACACTTATAACAAAGATGAACGCAAAAGTGGCCAAAAAAAAAAAATGAAAGAGAGAAGATGAATCTGCCCTACGCAATCGTCAACTAAAAATAAAACTTCACGCAAATATATAACGGACCTCTGTGCATTAAAAGAACATGAATATACTCGCTTTGTCCTCGACACCTAATGGGAACATTCTGGCGGGCCCAGCCAAACAGCGCGCCTGCCTTCGAGTATGGAATAGCAGCGGCCGCAGAAGTGGCCAACAGCTACCACATTGTTCGTCACGCTACCCGCACTGAAAAGTAACAACTATTCAATCGTGAAATGCAGCTATCCATCCAAAGATGCTGCACTACACCAGCTCCACCGCACAGTTAGCAGATAGGTACGGACCGCAGGTCCTGGTCTCTGTCTCTTCCGAGTAGGGTCTCCGGACCGGTCAACAGCGCCTCCATCTCCGCGCGGTTGCTATAGCACAGCTCTCCGGCCGGGGCCAGGCACGTACCCAGGATTTCGCCCAGGAGGGGGCCACCTGCTTCCGAAGGGGCCCTTAGGTCACCCGGGCCCCCCAGCCCGCCCAGGCGACCAGGGGCCCCCAGGCAACCAGGGGCCCCCATGCGACCAGGCCCCCGCTACCAGGGGCCCCCTTGGCGACTAGGGGCCCCAGGCGATCATGGGCCCCATGCGACCAGAGGCCCCCATGCGACCAGGCCCCCATGCGACCAGGCCCCCCGGCTACCAGGGCCCCCTAGGCTAGGGACCCCAGGCAATCAGGGGCCCCATGCGACCAGGCCCCGGCTACCAGGGGCCCCCTAGGCGACCAGGGGCCCAGGAAACCGGGGGCCCTCGGATGACTGCAGGGGCCATCGGGTCATCAGGGGCCCCTCGGGTAAACAGGGGCACACAAATGAAACTTTGATCCAGTGTTTGAAAAAATATACCGGGGCCTGAGGGGCCCCCTGAGCGCCTTCGGCGCTCAGGAGGGGCCATGGCCCCCGTGGCCCCCCCTTGGGTACGTCACTGGCCGGGGCCCGCAGTTCCTCGGCCTCTTCGTCCAGCCAGACCAGCACGGCTCCCGCCCTGCGCCTGAAGACTCCGCCCTCCGCAGATCCGTCCGTCCAAAACCGGACGGCACCAGCATGGGTGAAACTTTGACAT